CAAAGTTTGGATCACAACAAAGCATCCATCCCTGCGGAGGTTGTTCAAGCACAATCAGACAGCTGTGAATCTTTTAGCAATCTATATTCGCAGGTATATATATATATATGTGTGTGTTTGATTGTTTTTGTTTCTTTTCAGTGCAATTTGCAAGATGTTTCTCACTTAGAATACGCTCTTTGTCTATGGTCCTGAGTCCTTACTCTACTTCCCGTTGCACGCGCAGGAGCCTTCAATGGTCGCTACAAATGAAGCACAAGAACAGGAGGTGGGGGTCCAAATGTCTGTGGTGTGTGCCAAAAGACTTTTTACTTGGCTCTGAGAATCATAGCATTTAGGAGCACCCTCAAAGCGTGGATCACAGCAAAGCATCCGTCCCTGCGGAGGTTGTTCAGGCACAATCAAACAGCAGTGAATCTTTTTGCAATCTACAGTATATACATATATTTGTATACAGAATATATATATATAATATGTATGCAATGAACTTTTTTGTTCATGTGCTTTGATGCAATATGCAGGATGTTTCTCACTTAGAATGCGCACTCCGTCCATTGTCCTGAGACCTTCTGTATTTTACTTCCCGTTGCACGCGCAGGAGCCTTCAATGGTCGCTACAAAGGAGGCACAAGAACAGGAGGTGGGGGTCCAAATGTCTGTGGTGTGCCAAAAGACTTTTTTCCTGGCTCTGAGAATCATAGCATTTAGGAGCACCCTCAGCAAAGCAAAGCATCCGTCCCTGTGGAGGTTGTTCAGGCACCATCAAACAGCTGTGAATCTTTTAGCAATCTATATTTGCAGGTATTTATATTATATATATATATATGTGTGTGTGTTTGATTGTTTTTGTTCCTTTTCAGTGCAATTTGCAAGATGTTTCTCACTTAGAATGCGCTCTTTGTCTATGGTCCTGAGTCCTTACTCTATTTCCCGTTGCACGCGCAGGAGCCTTCAATGGTCGCTACAGAGGAAGCACAAGAAGAGGAGGTGGGGGTCCAAATGTCTGTGGTGTGCCAAGAGACTTTTTACTTGGCTCTGAGAATCATAGCATTTAGGAGCACCCTCAGCAAAGTGTGGATCACAACAAAGCATCCATCTCTGCGGAGGTTGTTCAGGCACAATCAAACAGCTGTGAATCTTTTAGCAATCTATATTCGCAGGTATATATATATATGTGTGTTTGATTGTTTTTGTTCCTTTTCAGTGCAATGTGCAAGATGTTTCTCACTTAGAATGCGCTCTTTGTCTATGGTCCTGAGTCCTTACAATACTTCCCGTTGCACGCGCAGGAGCCTTCAATGGTCGCTACAAAGGAAGCACAAGAACAGGAGGTGGGGGTCCAAATGCCTGTGGTTTTCCAAAAGACTTTTTTCCTGCTCTGAGAAT